CGTGTTGGAAGATGCAATCGCCATCCCATAATTGCTCTTCAACAATGGGAAGCAAGATGTTTAAAACATCAACGTAGTAGTGATAAAGCTACACAAAACAAGGGGTGCAAGCCCCCTCCATGAAAAACACGAGAAGAGCATTTTGGACGTGTCCGGTTACTATGGATCACATAGTGAACATTACGTGAGTGTAACATTACGGAATGGCTTTGGGCATCAACATTGTTGATGATCGAGTGCCAAGTGGACGAATTGATGCAGATTTGTTAACGTTGAGGAATAATTTGAGGGACCTCAAAATCTATTCCTCGTGGTAGCTTCATATTTTATAGATTAAAACGGAAAAATTGTGAAGTACTGAAAATTTTGTTGGATACCTTCCAGTAAATATTTGAAGATTCTAAGAACCCAGTAATTGGGTACCAATTCAAATTAAATGACAAGCCCTTCCATTGTAAGCAAGATCCGATTCCACATGTATATAATCCCTAGGTCAGAAAGCAAATCGAAAAAACGCTTCAACACGGTATTATTAAGAAATCGTCTCCGTATGTTAGCCCGACAGTCGTCTTTCGACAGAAGAATAATACAATAATGCTTTGTCTAGATACTCAAATTTGAACACTATTTTTATTTGAACAGCTTTTTTCAGCAACACTATTTGAACAGCTATTTTTCGATACGAAGTACCGCCAAAATTAGACATGGTGAGAAAACTTCATGGAGCCAGGAACAGGTTTAGATTTTACTGCAGTCTATTGACAGCTGTAAATACACCCTGAGTCCCAGAAATTCCCACTGCCATCTGAGCTACCCGGCAAGTAAGGTAAGACGGCCGAAGGTGACAGTATTTCACAAATAAGGAGATTTAATATTTAGTATTTATTATATTAGCGGGTACTGCACAATATATTCATAGAACATCATATATAATGGTCTGAATTAACATATTGTGCTACACGATTATGCAAAATACTCATGTCAAGTAAATAATATCAGCATCTACATATCATCGACTTCCACTTGAGCCTGTGGCTATGTCAATTTTTTCTGATAGAAATGGAGATATCCATGTAGGATGTATTTTCCTATTTTTTTGAACATCGGATATTTTCACCCTATTGATTGGAAATACAGATGAGACATAAACATTATCGAAAGGCAAATCTGGATATGCCTACCCTTTCTGAACCTGCTAGATGAATGAGTACTTGATAAACCCATCAATACGAGTGCATGTACTCACGTGCCAGGAAGTAACCATAATATTCTCTGTCTTACGTTAGTTGCTTTATTTCGAGAGAGCCCCACCAGTCTCACAATGAGGACAACCAGAACCAACAAGAGACTTGGTTGTCTTATTAAAATAGTTCGATAACTAAGTTTTGAAGTCTACGATGTACTAGGTATCTATTACTGTTGTCGTGAAGCATTTAGACGTTTCCTAGCTGACAGTTTTTCTGTGTGAAAATAAGGAACTAGTCATGAAATTCTTTCTCTTTTCCAGACATATGCATTTTTAGTTAGCAATGTAACACATACTTTAAGCCGAACAAAATTCATTTTTACACTTATCTGTAGATTGAAAAATATTAAAGAAAATTAAGATCTCAACTCTTTTTTTGAAAATTGTACTTATTTCCTTTCAAAAATCACCTATTGAATTGAAAGTATTTTTAACATGATAAACATATGCAAACATATTTATTTTCTTCGCCTCTTCAATTGCTACTTATGCAAACAGACGCTCTATGATAAGAAAGACTAGTTGAAATTTCATAACTCCTTTCTGTCAGGGCCCTAAATTTTTAACTACCACTCACACAAAGATTTTATATATTTGGGGTATTTTGAGAAAAAAATCTTATATTCTAAAAGATTGATAGCGTTTTGTTGTGAGGATGTGTAATTACGAATGCAATCTTCGAACAGACCTAAGTAAAACATTTTTGTTTTATTTCATGTGAAAGTGTGATCGCCGGTGCGGGAGTTGTCAATGTGTTGCATTTGATTGCTTGGGCACTGAATAGACATCATACGCACGAAAGCAGAGCACGAAGGTATTCGACTGTTAATACACTGACATTACTCGTAAACAATATTGAATGTACTTACGTTCTAGCTTCTTTTGCTAAAGTTAAAGCAACGCTCGCACAAACCACACAGATTGCACCAGAACTGCACGTGCATGCAGACAGATCTTTTCACTAGATCAAAACATAAACGGCTCACAACTCTCTTGGAATACTATTTATCTATCAGGAGATAGACATCATACAACGATCAAAAGACTACCCTGCACTCTCGTGGAGATTTCGAATATCTCTTGTGACGTCGGGGAGATCGCTCTCCTGAGAATTTGCGTGAGTCTTCCAGTTTCAGAAAGTTAAGAGAATAAACTCTTCCTGGGTAAACGTGCCTTTAGGGTAACATCGCACTGGCATTGATATCGTTGCTCGTATCTGCTAATCAAGTACGTGCAATGGGGCACTAATGATTTTTGTAATTCAGCGCGATATTTCGGAAAACCTTTTGAATCAATTCGTCTTTGGTTGATGTCGTCGTACAAAAGTTTGTTGGCTATGTGATACATTGTATCATATTGTAGTAGGTATTGTCGATTACCCTCTTCCCATTCTCAATATCCATCAACTGCTTTGCGAAACGTTCGGCGGCCGCATAATTTTGTAATTGAACTCGCATATTGGATTTCAAAGTAACATTTCTAAAATAATCTTTACACGTCGCCATAGAACTGATGATTTCAGACTTGAATTAAGTTCATCAGTAGGCGTCGAGCATGGCATAACTGGTAGTTTCTCCAAAATCACCAGACAATAAAATGAGTGCTCCTCTGAAGGGCTGATAACTTTTTCGCTGATGCATTCCATGTGTAGTATTTTGGTACTTTTGAGAAATTTAGCGTTCTCGAGAAAAAAGTATCCAGGAACAGTGAGAAGAACTCAGTTAACGTTGTTTGCGTTGGCGAAAAAGCTCTTGCATGTACATTTTTCGTTGTAAAATATAGGCACTGTCCAGTTTTAAGATGCAATGCCAAATGAACAACTGTTGAATGAAGTTCATGAAATGGAAATAAGAAAATACGCAAAACAGATTCATTGCTACTTTTAATAAGCATAGTAAGTATATGAAAATTTACTTCTACATTTTTAATCATCTAAAAATAGATGTTAATATTTTACCCCGTGGCGTTGCGCGTGGCAATTCTTTTAAGTACGACCAGGAGAGATGGCTCAGATCATCAACTGATGCCCCCTGCAGCCACTCTGACTGGGATGTCCTAGGTCCGAGTCCCGACGGTAACAGGATTTTCGACACTAGCTTGTCAGCTAGGTCGAAAACAGTCGCTGTCTGGAGGAGAATTCCAGCGTTCGGCTGCTCTGATCGGTAGTTTTCCGTAGTATATCCTATCGACCCCAGGCGAATGACGGAGCAGAACCCTAACGCACGGACCGCGCGTGATCTCACCTTCATCTTTCTTGTCCCAACCTAATCCCTTCACACGCACTACACTACCAGACATGCCGGAAGACCCAACGGGAGCTAAGAGCTTGTTCCGGCTGGAGTGGTGCTCCGCTGGTGGGAGATACCTATTTGGAGAAACCCCCGCTAGCTGACGATAGGTCGGCACCAGATCTCGCTCTACAGTGGGGGAAAGATCACCGCCACCTCCCGAGCAAAATCATGTATTACACTTACGGGAATAATGACTCTGGTAATTAACGTGACCGGAATCATCAATCAATCTTAAGTATGCCTTGAGTTTCTATTACCTTAAAGCTAGAAGTTTTTGAATTTTTATGGAGAAATGAAGGAAATGTAATATGTTTTAATCCCATTTTTACCTCCCTGGGGAGCCTATATTTAAAAATTCCAGAAAACGTGATTTTTAGTATTCTGAAGTAAAAATCTGAATATTTATTTCTTGCATAGAGATATGGATGGAATTATACATTTTTTTCCTCCCCTGCCCCCTCCTTGAGGGCGAAATTTGTTTTTGCATAATATGTCTGCAATATCTTTTGAATATTTATTTTTAATGAGAAATAAAGGAAATGTGAAAAATATGTTTAATCTCGTTTTTTGCCTCCCTGCCCACATGGGAGTCGAAATTTAATAATAACATTACGCCCGAAAACATCAAGTGGGTGTACTCAATTTTACAAATATTCATAGCGATTGAATGAATGTTGTAGTACTGAATAAAGGACAAACAAACATACATTCTTTAATATATATGGATGGAAGGATGGGGATAAACAAAACACATGAACTATATTGTCTTTTTTATATACACACATTGTTTACAACAATATGTACAACTTTAAATGTAATTTTTAAATACATTAGTCTTTTTTCAATCTAGAAAGCATATTTTATAACAATATCTTAATACATTTAGAACTACATTACAATTTTACACGGAAGAAAGTAATTAAGCACTTTTGAATTATACCTTGTTTCTTTTAAGTAACAGATAGTTTAAGTATAATGCAATAGCATTATGAATAGATATTAACTTCATTTATGAGACTTGATCATAACATCACAATAAATAAAACACTTAAAATTTAGTCTCACATTTTGGAGACTCAATATCTAACAATTTCAACAGTGAATAATAAAAATAAATAACATATTGTAACACACATCTTAAAACTTTTAATGCTGCTATGGGGCAACGTTGATGAAATAATATCTACCAAGCAACATTGGAAGATGAATTAAATTATGGCTATCGTAACTAAACATATACTATTATAAAACATTGATATTAAGAGAGCCTAGTGCTAGCTGGTACAGGTATTTAAAGTTTGGTCCCATGGGAGATAGCTTCAGACGTGCATGTATCTGATCAAAATTGCAGAATGAAATAAGATACCAGAACAGAAAAGAACTACACCTCTGCAACAGTGATGCAGTAATACTGTTCAACTTACCATACCAGCCATTAGCTGGGAATTACTTAAGTCAGTTACCAGGACGTTCTTCAGCAAGAACTTCATCTGCCAAACTGCGTACTTCATTCCAGGACAGTTTGATATCATGAGATTCTGTGAATCGTGAGCAAATTGCCAAACGAAGGAAATATGTATCACGGATTTTGGAAGGTACCAGATGGATAACTCCGTGACCATTGATTCTACGGAGCAATGTTTCATTCAGTTCATTTGAACCCTGCAAAAATGAAAAGTCGTTGAAGAAATTGCCACTAACAGAAATCACTCAGAAAAGTTAAGACTTACCGAGACACGTTTTTTGTTACAAATTGGTTAATAAGTTGGCGTTCGAGAGTATTCTTAATAGTGCATAAAATTATTCATAATTAGTGCATAAAATTATTCTTAATTAGTGCATAAAATGTAACACAATTATTTAATGATTTTCAAATATTACATTAAAAGTAAATGAAAATGTTAATTGTTGCCACCATAAGTATTAAATATTCTAAAATATTAGAACATGTTACCTTAAGTCTGAAGCACACAAGGCCCATGGTAACTTCTCCATATATTTCAAAGCGCGAGTCTGATTTGACATGATCTTCAAATTCATGAGCCAAAGCTATTTGGCGTCTTATATGTGCCTGTAGATTCGCAATACCATAAAGGCGAAATACAAACCACAGTTTGAGAGCTCGAAATCGTCTTCCAAGAGGAATCTGCCAATGCTATTTAAAGAACGAAAAATGTATTTTCTCATTCCAATTCCATGTTACGAATATACGAAACTAGTATCACAAACACTTACTCTGTAATCGGGAGCAGACCCTTGCTGATCGTGTTTCAGATAAAGAGGATCAACATTAAAAGCACTAACCACATCATTAGGGTCTTTCAACCTAGAAAAAAATATATTTTGACATAATCAGAAAGTGAAGAATCAATAGTTCATGTTCTGATACCTTTGTTAATAAAGAACATTTTTAAACTATCTCATTTCTTTGATTTTTACTGCTGGTATTGCACATTATTTTCCGTAGTTCCCGATAGTACATTTTTCGTGTTCACTTAGTTTGATACGTATCTTATTTACGTGATTTCATTTATGTGAATTTTAAAACTCATCACAAAAGTGCGTGACTAAAAAAGACATCCTAGCAAAAGGAGCTGATCGTTCTCTACTGCTTTCAGTGACAGCTCGATAAAATGTGACATATTTCCAAATATTTCGAATTTGGTCTGCCTCGTCAGTTCCTTTTACAAACAAACAAACGATTTAGATATTCTCACGTTTCTAAAGACATTTTAGTAAAACTGTTATAATCTGTGTGCAGTAATATATTAGCCGCGGAAACAAAAGGAAATACACCATTAAAATAATATAATATTATTTAATAAATGATTATTATGTCACTAAATACACTCCACTGTAATAACAAACGCAGTGCTTGTTTATTTACATACTATTACTACTTCCCAGAAATTTTTAATTATTATTTTTTCAGAAAGTTTTGTATTGTGCATACTTTCAGTTGTGCAATGTTTCTACTAGGATTTGTACAAATTTTGGTGGTACATTGTATAGATTACTCACCACATAGCAGAGCAATCAAAATTGACCAACATCCATTTGTGAGGATTGAAATTGAATGAATCAGCATGTTCAATTCCGGCCATCAGATATCGATATTCCGGGCAAATGAAAGCAGATCCTGAAAATGTACATATTTAATAATAATAATGTTGTAAACTTTGGTAAGGGATAAATATCATGAAACTGTGTATAAAAGCTGTGATAGGTAGACTGACCAGCATATGCAGCATCTACATGCAACCAAACTCCTTCTTGATTGCATACGACACCCAGCTCCTCAAGGGGATCAAAAGCACAAGAACTAGTTGTTCCAAGAGTAGCCACAGCCTGTGAAAAGAAGAGATGATGCTATTTTGATGAATTGAGATCTAAAAGGCCCTTCAACTGCTATGTTCATTGACGCCTATATAAAATAATTTAAAACCGTAATTTAAACTACATAAAGCTCGTTATATATGAACTATAACTCTTATTAAATCCACAAGTATAATTTAGAACAAAGTATAGTCTGCATAAAATCTGTGTAATGGAAATGCAAGCTTGAAAATTAATAAATAATAATAATATTTATAGTAATAATGTGAAAACCTGACTGTGTAGAGGCCAGGTAACATATAGAAAAACAATATTCTCCTTATCTCTCAAGCCAAGTGGTAAAGTCCAGATCATGGAGTTCTCATCACAAGAGAACATCATGCGACAAATGTCAATAACAAATGGTGATTCGGCAGATCAGGGCTTTCCTCTTAATCAGGGAATCCTTAAACGTCCTAACTTAAAATTCGCTTTGTGCCACTAACTCTGCCATGCAATGAGTATTATTCTTATTAGAAATGTAAATAAGCAGAGGGGACAGTGGGAATAACAATATTTGACTTCCGAATCGCTGATTTCACAGAGTGGTCTGCTAATTCATTGATAGTGATTCTCACATGGCTTGGGATTCAATAAGTTCTATCAGCCATTTCAGGAAGTTGATGTAGCATTAGGTTGCGAATTTCATCAGGACCTGTGAAGATTATTTTCGCAAGTGCGAGAGCAGAGCGCATTTGAGAAGTGGTGAATGGGGTGTTCACTTCACTAACGGGACTACCATTGGGTTAACATGCCCATGAACATCAGTTAAGTGGAGGCTTGGGTAGACTTCGACGGTAGGCAACTTTCTTAACCTCTTTTTTTTGTGGGAATGATTATTTTTCCGCCTTGCAGGGATAATACCTATTCAGGGAAGTCCTTGGGAGAAACTGGGCAATAGAAGTGCGCCACTGGGGACGCAACAAGCAGAGATTGCCAGCTCACTGTACCTTGTTCACTGCACTGGAGAAAGACATAGAGAGATCTATTGGGTTCTTCGTCAGGTACCAACTTTTCGTCTCGAGAAAGGACACCTCAAAGATTCGGATCTTCTGAATCTCTCTCTTCTTCAGAAAGATAGGATACTTGTTGGAGTTGACCGCTGAGCTCTTTCACAGTCTACTCAGTGTGTAACGCAGGGTTCTGCTTCGCCAATTGTTTTGACGCACTTTGCGCATATCCGGCGTTCTGCGTTGCACTTTTGTCGCGTATGGCCGAACAATTGACAATTAAAAAAGCGCAAATATTAAGGGACATACAGCAACACTGGAAGATGGATAGAACTGGACACTGGATAGAACCAGCGACAGATCCTATCTGGGAGTGTGGGAGATTAGCTACGGCTTGAAGCTTCCCGAACAAATCATCTGTGGCTCGCGCCACACTGACCGCACTCGTTTTTATAAATGTTTACCTTTCCTCAGTGCATCTGTAAGGAGAAATGCTGTTTCTTCGTCTGATCTGTAGTCGAAGGAGCTATTCAGATATGTACGCCGTTCAAAGCATTTTCCTTGTGGATCGAACCATCTTGACAGCATGTATTTTTGAAAGAGGTAAACTTTATAGGTATTGATATTTAATTGAAGGCCAATTTGAGGGGGGAACTAAATTATTGGATAATAAATTACAGAAAATGAAATATTAAATAACATTTACCATTAATTTTTCAAATATTGTATGTAAATGCAACGGATTAGACGCTAGTTGAAATCAACGACACATTCAGTAGAACTGCTACTTAAAACGTAGTTCCCCACTACTATTAAAAAGTCTACTTCATGGTACTTTTAGATTGTTGAAGTTTTGCTAGTGGGGATCAAATGCAAGAGTTATCAATTTTTGTTTTAAATATTACAAAACAGGTAGATTACCGAGACCCATGGCTGGCTGGGGAGACCTTGGGCTGTATCTAGGTTTATCAATTATTTGACTAGTCCATTAACTTTTTAAGCTCTTTGAGATATGCTTCCCATTGGTCACATGCATGAAAAACGTAACTTCTATGTGACTTGTAAAGTGAAATATTCAATGTTTCAACAAATAATTGCAACGACAACCGACAAACTATTAATAGATATTGTAATGACGAAGAGGAATAATGTAGTGAATGAAATATTAAAAAAGGGGAAAAAAATAAAGCGTTACGACAGAGGAGAAATTAATTATTCCAATAAAAACTTCCGCAAATTCATTTACTTCATCTCAAACTATATACGAAATGATATAAATCCCAGAAACCTGACAATTGCTAGATATGCATAATTATAGCATGGACTAGGGCCCAATATGTGGACCGTCTTAACTATAGGCGAAGAAGACGCGACGTCTTCTACAATCATAAGAATACAATACTGGGCTGCATGAAACAATTTAACCTACTATTTACACTGATGTGATAAAGTCATGCGATACCTCCTAATATCGTCTCACACCTCCTTTTGCCTGGCATAGTGCAGCACCTTGACGTGGCAAGAACGTGATTCGCTTGAATTGTTCAGAATGTTCTTCAAACCAATGGCTAACATTTGTGGCCCGGTGACATGACGCATTGTCATCCATAAAAATCTATCGTTTTGGGAACATGAAATCTATGAGTTGTTGCAGATAAATCGTCGTTGAAATTTCCCTGCAGCAGCTATGTTGCCTCTATAGATGGCCATAATTGCGAAAGTTGTGCTGGTGCAGGATTTTATTCACGAATTGACCTCTCGATTCCATCCCATTAATGTTCGATGGGATTCATGTTGGGTAGTCTGGGTGACCAAATGATTCGATTGAATTGTCCAGAATGTTCTTCAAACCGATGGCTAACACCTGTGGCCCGATAACAAGGAGCATTATCATCCATAAAACTTCCATCGTTTTGGAAACATGAAGTCCATGAATGGCTGCAAATTGTCTCCAAGTAGCTGAACATAACGAATTCCAATGATCGGTTTCACTTGGGTTAGAGGACACGGTCCGTTCCATGTAAAATAGTCCACACCATTATGGAGCCACCACCAGTTTGCACAATACCTTGTTGATAATTTGGGTTCATGGGTTCGGGGGGTCTACGCGACATACGAACCGTACCAAAAGCTTTTACGAACCCAAATCGGGATTCATATAACTAAGGGCGTGTTTTAATGAATGTCATTTTTTAAACTTTAGAATAATGCCTTTTAGTACAGACATTACATTTATGTAATGACAAAAATGAAATTTAAATGGTTATATAGAGATTCAAATTGGGCGCTGTTTGCGTGCGAGCTATGCGTGCGGCTTAGGCTTAAGTGGCGGCAAAAGCAGTCACCGTAACCGGTCGAAGGAGCGAGTCTCTGGTGGTGACGTCACAGCGTATATAAGGGGCGACAGGTGACGGAACAGTAGTACCGTCCTGAGATAGAACTCCGTGTTTTATGTGTCTATTAGAGTTATTGTGCCTTCGCTGAGCAAACCTCGTATTCTTAGTTCTAATTTGATATTGATAACTTTAAATTGCACTCGTCAATCTCCTGGTGACGTCGACCAGGCTTGTTTAGTTCGACATCTTCTGGTATACACGGTTATGAGCATTGTATTGGTAAATTTGCTTGTAAGCAGTAAATAATACACTTTTTGTTGATTTACTTGTTGGTGTATTTTTCTGGCCATTACATGACCCATTTTTATGACCTTTTTTATATTTTTTGTCTTTTTTGACTAATTATTTTTTTACCATTTCCCGTCATTTTTAAAGTGTTTTTTGCTGATTTCATCGATTTTAATATCATCTTAATAACACTTTCTTAAATGGATATTTACGAAATGTAACTAATGATCTCTACAGAATTCCTGATTAGTCACGTCGATTTATTCCCTCAGATATTGTAATGTCAGCCCTTGTGAATATGTAATGTAATATTCTACTGGCGCCTATCAGCACCATTACTGGTTCGGTCGATTTTGAAATAACTATAGGCAGAGATTTCCTTGTAAAGAACAGTTCAAATCAAAATTTTGCACGCAGAGTTCACATGAACAAAAGAAAGAAACCCCGATTTGCATCAGTAACATATCTAATAGCTAGTTCATATAAACTGGTTTAATCAAATTTTTACGTCATTTTTCTTTGCTTTTAGGGCATTTTAAAAACCTTTAAAAGCATTTTGTTGATGATTTTTTATGATTTGTAAGTCATCGCAATCCTCACCCTACATATAACCAATCTGTGGTTTTCCAGTATACTTGGATCCAGTCGCCTAGGGTCCAATCGATATTGGCACGAGAGTGGGAGAGGCGCTGCAGGCGATGTCGTGCTGTTAGAAAAAAGGCACTTCTACTGCCACAGCCCATTAAAGCCAAATTTCACCGCACTGTCGTAACGGATACATTCGTCTTACGCCCCACATTGATTTCTGCGGTTATTTCACGCAGTGCTACCAGTCTATTAGCGCTCAAAACTCAATGACTGAGAGCAGGGTCGATTGCATAAAGTAAAAGACACGCATATTAGCCTGGAATTAGGTATTCTCGACATATTCTTGACATAGTGGATCTCGTAATATTGAATTCCCTTATGATTTCCGAAATGGAATGCCCCATGCTCCAACGACCATTCCGCGTTCAAGGTCTGTTAATTTCCGTCCCGCCGCCATAACCGCGTCATAAACGTTTTTACATGAATCAGTTGAATACAAATGAAAGATCTGCCAATGCACTAACCATTTATAACTTCTGTACGCGATCTTACTGCGATCTGTACAATTGCATATTGCTATCCAATGATTTTTATCACGTTTTTCTATTCAGTAAACAATTTTTACAATTAATCAATATCTCAGTGTCAGAAAATACTGTAGATGAAATCTATTTTTACATACATGTATTTTGAAAATATTGTCACTTTAGTACAACTACCACTTAGATGTGTTATCAACATACAATTTATTCAACATAAAATCATTCATATCTCAAGAAATTGAGAATTATTTGCAAAATAAGTAACAAAACAGCTGAACCGCATACAAAAAGCCCTCCACTCTACAAGCACAAAAACGTAAATCACCTGGCTACAAAGGCTCCAATCACTATTTCGATATAAATGTGCCATTCCGCTAATACTCGAATCTCGATAAATAACAAATTAATTTGTTTATGTTCCCATTGCCCAAAATCACTGTATGAAAACCGTAGTACGAACAGCTTCCAAGTGTACTTTGACACCACCCAGGCGACCAACGTGCTCAAAAACACTCTTCCTGGAACTTGTCTCCAGTTGCTACGCACGCGTTGCAATTTTGTGCAGTTTTGGAGCATTCAATGGTGTCTTGCTCTGTTGTGATTTGTGGGAGAACAATCGTCTCATATTTGTTGGCACAATGTTACAACCGACATATGACTAGTTGTTCCCCCACAAATCAAACGCTGAATTTCAAATAGTGGCACATCGCATCGAACCTACGAATGAAGTTACGACTGAGAACGGAACGAGGCGGCATTAGAACACAGTATCCGGTTCGTTGCGATGGTCCACTACTTGAAATTCACCACGTTTTTGAGGTTTATTTATATATATATATATTATATAATATATATATATATATATATATATATATATATATATATATATTATAATCAGGACTACCGGCAAAAAGGATTAAAACCGCTGGGTCTATCCAATTTTTGATTACGAAATAGTACCGCGTAAAACGCAAAGTCAATTTTAATGCTCAAGGTGAAAAGCAGGGCGCCCTAAACTGTGCTACTCACGTAGAATGGGATGAGTCCCTCTGGCGGTCGCTGCGGATGGCGTCTTGCAGGGCGTCGGCGCGGCAGGCGGTTGTTGGCGTCCGTGGGCAGCAGACGCAGCCTTGACGGCGCCCAGCAGCCCGCGCGCTCACCGACGAGTGCGCCTGGCCTGCAACGCACGTCCCTCACGCTCAGCACCTCGCACCGCTCCGGCCCTGCACTCAACCACACGCATACCTTCGTACGCCCAGCACCTTACACCTCAACGCTCAGCACTTCACACCCCTCCGGCCCAGCACTAACCACTCACATACAATCATATGCCCAGCACCTTACACCTTTCATCACTCAGCAACTTAACTTACACCCCTCCGGCCCTGCACTCGACCACTGACATACCTTCCTACGCCCAGCACCTTATACCTCAACGCTTAGCACTCAGTTTCGCCACATATTTCCCCACGCCCCAACGCCTTACAAATCGCAACGTTTAGCACTCAGCCTCACCGCACATTTCCCTGTGTCCAGTTCCTTGCACTCTTCAACGGTCTGTAATCAACCACACCACGTACCTCCTTATGTTCTGCACCTTTCATCCTTCACATTCAGCCACAACACCCACACACCTATGCCCAGCACATTACATCCCCACCCCGCACTCATAGCACTAAGCCACATCACATACCTGCCCATGACCAGCATCTTACACCTCTCAACCTCAACACTCGACCATATCACTTACCTTCACAAGCGCCGCACCTTACACCTATAAAGATCAGCTCTCAGCCCCACCAGGTACCTCCTTAACACGTGCACCTCACGGACCTCAACGCTCAGCACTCGGGCAGAACCCATACTTCCTCATGCCTAGAGCTTTATACTCTTCATTCTCAGCATTAAGCCACGTAACATACTTCCCTACGCCCAGAACCCTACACCTCTAAAGACGCAACACCATACACCCATTACGGCCAGCATTCACCCACACTACAAACACTCCTCATGCGCAGCACCTTAACATCACACTCAAAACAATAGTCCCTATGTTACATATTCCACTGTTCATTACTCTAAGGACCCAATTCATAGGCTGCTCTTAAGAATTCAAAGAATAAGTGATTCATTGAAGTAAATCATCACAAGGTCATATTGCATAGAAGTTCCTCAATAACCTATAATGCGTTTTTCCGTACGTTATCGCAAACATGTCAACGTGTCGTGTCTTCCTTGGCTGACCACGGAGTGAGCACACACAATTATTATGTGTATAATCAGCGTCCGATATTACTTCAGCGCTTTGGAGATAATGAACACGATCATTGCCGGATGGAAAACACATTATCAAATTGACCCTGTATTTATTGGTTAGAGCTATCGGAGTAAAGAATGTGAGAACAAGTTCTGGTGAAAAGGTCAGATCATTCCCTAGTAAACATATAATACGGAAGTCGGGTTTCAGAGTAGGAAAAGGTCAATAAGAAAGTTCTTTAATATCCAGAGCTCTGATGCAAAAATGTGCACGGAAAAATATGAAGACTCTGGATAAAGAGTTACTTGTAAATGCCGTAGAAAATATATGGGGAATGATTTGGAAAGTGAACAGAATAGCTGCCAAAAACCGTGGGCTATGGACCGTATTCAAAGAGGAAAAGTGGTTTGATGAGGAAATTGACAAGGCAATACAAAAGAAATGTAAAGCGCGCCCTGAATACCAAAAACGACTAAGTCGGTCTAAAAAAATGAACAATGAGGAAAATCGAATTAAAACAAAAATCTGCAAAGGAAAGGAAAGACACTTAAAAAACTGACGCAAATAGAAGTAGTGGCGCTACAGAATGGCACAGAAGTTCCCGTATAAATTTTCTATTTCGTTTAAAAACACTTTTCCGTTTCAGGAGCCCCCAAAACGTGTATTTTCGTTGAAATCTCGAAATCAATTTTCCGCAACATTATATAACTTTTGCTATACTACATGTATTACTCCGTATATACGTATGTACACGGGAAAGTAAAAAGGGTGCCTGCTGCAGGAGCAAAAATTCTGCTGCTTTCAATTTCTGCTCGCATTGGAAATTAGTAACTTGTATTTCATAAAGAACAGAACACCATAAGTCTGGAAAAGCTATATATCGAGGAAGTACATATAAGACTGAAAACAAATATATCCAGGAAGGAATGGTAGCTAGAGGGAATGACGAAATCAAGAAACGATGGACAGAATATTTCGTTACAATTTTAAATGGCAATGAAACCATGATCAAATCATGGAGGACACAAGACATATGGAAGAAAGGTAAGAAGAAACAATAATGGAACCAACTGTTGGACAGATACGAGAAGCGAGGTGATTCTTAAAAACGAAAGGGCCGGTAATTTCATTTGAGCTCCTTAATCAGATATAACCGAAATCTACATGCTGATGCAAAAAGTATGGAAAGACTGATGCACAAATGCTGATGCCAAAATAATGGATGGAACAGAATAAAATGCCGGTATAAGCTGTCCAATATTTAAGAAGGCAAAAATTGGAATTCAACGAAAATCGAGTCATAACATTATTCAGTTATATGTAACAATGCATAAATTAGAAGAATACTGGATTATACCGATGCAAATTTTGGAGAGTACCAAAATGGGATTAGCTCTGAAAGGCCTTCTGTGAATTATATTTCATTGTCAAACAAATATGGTCAAATTCTGGGCACAAGAAATGGACGTATATCACGCTTTTACAGACTAAAATGAGGCATTCATTCTAAGATATAAACCTTTAGGTAACACGAATATTTTGCGTCAAGCAAAATATTCTGCGAAACCGTTGTCGTTTTCCATAATAGACGTAAATGACATCATACATGACAAGAAAACATCATCTAAACCGGGGAAGGCAAGACCGAATGAAGATTAGTTAAGAGAAATGTCATAGTTTATACGAGCTAGTTGTACTCATTGCCCATACATTACTTATTCATGGAGAATAAGAACTGTTTGTGAATTCGATGTCACAAAAGAAACATTAATTTTAAGTGACCATGTGAATCGGCCCCCAGCACCTTATGCCTATCTATGCTCACAAGTCGGGGGCCCAGCAGGGCATACTCATTAGGATCTTACATAAGCAGATCCGCACCTTACACCCACTACCAACTTACCACTAACCACCTTACCCCGGACCTTACACAAACTACCTTACACCTCTCCAATGATCAGCTTTGTTTTAAGCGCGTCATGCACTTCCTAATGCTTAGCACTTGTAGGTATTAACTATAGCTTTTAAAACCTTTTTAGCCTTTAAGAATCAACTCTACAAATCACCATGCTTAACACTCTGAAGCCTACTTTCTTCCTCTTTATGCCCAGCATTCGAATCCCTCTCGACACCTTGTCACATTCAGTACTTGCGAGATCCACCCTACGCTTTCCTACCTCACCAATCGGATGACCTACTACACCTCGTGCCTATCGCCAGGGATCTATTCTTCATCTACTTACACTCAGCATTCGAGGTCCATGCTCTTACTCACAGGTCTACTTTGCCCAGCACTCAAAAGCCCATTTCCAGAGCTGCTAATATAGCTCCCAGTATCCCACAAAACTTCTGACCCTATGTATCCTCAGAATCAGCACACCCACCCTACCCCTCAAAGCGAAGTACTCTGAGGCCGACCATGTAATTTCTCAGCTTCAGTACATAGAGGCCCACAGTTCACTTTTCAACACCCAACCATGTCTTCCATTTAGAGCATACTCCATGTCTCACAACTCATACTCCATGTCAAAAATGCACATCAAGACTCAGCCTCCTTGTATATCTCGCTATTCTCAGCATCCAGAGGCGAAGTAATTACTTAAACGTAATATTATGTTTGTTGGTAGATACCTCTTCGGGAGAGATTAGTTCTCTTGGTTTTCTAGATTTAATCCAAGACATTAATGAATACTTTTCATATTAAGTCATAAGTATATCTCATTTTTATTACAAGTTATTTTACAAGTTTTGAGCTATTATTTTATAATAAAATATTTACATTTACTTCAGAAAAGCATCGAACAAAAATATACGGAGCAAAGCTGGGATGTTTAGGGAACACTTCGACAAGTGAATATCGGCAGGTCGTCAACGCTTTTCATGCCTAGTAACAGCGATCCCGTTGGTAGGTAACATAGTTATCAAGGCGATACGGCAGCTTCGTAATTGAGTTACCTCTGCTTTTGGCCTCCTCAATGTCATTATCAGCGAGCCGAGGTTCACGGAGGTCGCAAAAGCAGCACATTGATCGCATGGCACCGGAGTGCGCTAAAGGTGCATTTCCTTCCATTTCTAACATGCATTCAGAATTTCTAACTTACGCAGTTATTATTATGAATTCATTATTAGTACTACTACTTATCAAAATGTCGTAAAGACTTACAAACATTTTTCTTGTTAACAATGTAATATTTATTCCACACTACATTATTTCTCTATAAGAATATACATGTAGTACGTTTTTTTAAACTTACACGTTGGGAGAATGATTAGTTAAGATCTCGATAGAAGAAACATTCCTTTAATCTGTTTATCATTTACCCAAAACGTTTCCAATTGTCATGACGAATCAACAGTGATTACCTTTAGCCATCGTACACTTGTCTACCATAAAAGCTTAAATTCCTTGCATAAAATAACTTTTAAATCGTTCACCCTTTCCACACATATGTTACGGCTAATGTCCAAATCTAGCTAAGTAGCGAACCCGAATAATGTTCAAATTATCCTAAGTGGATGAATAAAGGTCGAAGTAACATCCGCTTCGAAACATACTTAGGATTTTAGCCGGACAAGGTGTATATTAATCCCCGGCGGTGGCTTGAATATATGAAGTACGTTATGGCGGCGAGGAAATAGCTCATAATATGTGATAAACAGGGATCATATTGCTGCTGTTAAATTGCAAAGACTAGAATTACCTGCCTCTGTAGTAAATTTCTGTTTACACAACACACCTAACTTAATCAAGCGTATGTACACGTAGGCTTCCGCGGCTCGAGTCCATTACTTCTAGGCTGCCCGGGTGACGCCCCGTCGTTGGCAGATAGGCCGACGTTTCGCCTGTCATGTCACAGGCTTCTTCACGGTAGTGACGACACTTCAGGGTCACTACATGACACTACATGACAGGCGAAACGTCGGCCCATCTGCCAACGACGCGGCGTCACCCGGACAGCCTAGTTGTCTTAATCTAGCGTAAGCAAATGTAACCGAACCTAATCTGTACCCACATCAGTTGACGCTTCGACCTTCCGGGTTAGAGACGAGGTTCCGACCTTTGTGATTTATATAAAACGGCCTCTATTAAGCGCAACGCATAACTTCCAATGATTTCTTATGTCACAATATTTCATGCAAACAGACAATACGCCCCACTCTCGGTCAAACGCTGTACTTGGCAAGCGCCATGGGGGCCAAAGCGAATATTAGCAGTAGGAAATCCAAAAAGGTCCATTCATGCAGCTTTAAGCAAACCGCCATACGTATGTGCGAACAAAGGCGCAATCCCAATATTATCCATATTACGGAGTTTAACACAGGCACTTTAAGTCCAATGATACGAAGATATATGAGCAGTTATGCAGATTATGAGGGCAGAGTTGCCAGAGAAAAGTGTCGCAAGGAAGTAATAGAGAAAAATTATTAATTATTTGTAGAATGTACTCACTTGAAGCGTATCCCACAAGTTTTGATACAATGTCGTTTTCATTCACATCTGGGTTCTCTTGGCGCGCTTTGCGGAGGACTCGAGCTTTGGCTCCCAGCAACGCCACCAGGGTCGCCTCACTCGCGGTCCCCTGCAAGAAAAACCGCGGCAATAAAGCAATCATCCGTTAGTAGTACCTAAATGAATCTACGACCGGGCTGTAATACGAAATCAGCGTCATATTCTACACATAGATTCTCGTCATTTTCCAAAATTATGAGGATATTTTCTACACGATATATTGAAACATTTCAGGAAGACAAAGATGTTTTCTATAGCTCGACATACAAGTACTCATTAAGAAGTGTTTTAAGTAGTACAGTTACATCCATACTTTACGGATGATCACGCTGGAATTAACTTGAAACTGGTTTCATTCGATTCACGAGTCACAGGATAAACACGTTTTCACACAAATATGATCAGATGTATCTCAAAGCGTTGAGTGAAAACCTATTCGTCAGAAGAGATAGATAAACGGAATTTAGTAAATGTAGTAGATTTCGCGTAGTTGAGCACGATCAATCTTTATTCTTATACCTGCCACGAGTTCCTGCGCTGCAAATACAGAGAAGCTATTGTACCTTCTTGTGCGGAATTGCGATCTCCAAAATCGTACCTGTATGACGCCGCCCCCCTTGCCTCCAGAGCTGGCGAGAAATTCGGGCGGCAGCTCCAGCATCTTGCCCAACCAATCCAGCATCACCACTTCCAGCTCCGTGCAAGCAGGGCTCGCGATCTGAAAAAGTATACGAAATTGACGCAATATTCTCAAAATTGCAAATTACATTCATTCTACTAGATTAATTACGATTAATATGAGCGCGCGCATATGCAAGTTCGATGACAACGGAGAGACAATTACACATTTCCAGAAGCAAGTTGTTACGTAAATGGTGACGTAAAGTTACTGGTTGCAGATGCAACGGATAGCAGAGGTACAGAATTACCTGAGAATTTTCTGTGTTCCTTTGACAATTAAAGAAAATATTTAGCAATTATCATTTATGTCTTAGAGAAACCCCTAGGGAATCTGGAGCTTGTACAACTTACAAAAGCTATCAAAAACAAATCCGGGTGTGCTCTTGGTGCATAGAAAAGTACCTTCCAGTGACGCATCAAATAAATTAATGATGAGAAATTGTGAACTTTTTAGGTTATGCAATAAATACGTCAGCGGATGCATGTGTAACCGGCAACACACTATACGCTGCCTTGTATATAATTCGCAAACGGCAAATACTAGACATATAAACTGAAGACAAATTAACAACAAATTATTAACATTAATAATTAAAAGATAGTTTAACATTTTTCGGTCCCTTGTCGGAATGCGAATTATGTTAAAGTACAAAAAAACTATTTTGGTTATTCTTTTATATTTTTGAAGGTATAGATTTTTTGGGAACCCTCTCATTATTGCTCGAGTAGTGAGAAATTGGCAGAATACCGAAATCTTTGTGAATTAACGTGTCGACTATTTGGCATTCGATGCCATTCAATCATGTTGATCTAAGTATTTCTAGTTGTTAATAAACTCTTAATAATATTGTAATTTTATTCCTCGCACAATTTGGAACCTCTGTTAACAATTTATTTTATTAATAATTCAGTGTAAACGTTATAGGGTTTGTTCAGTGGATTAAGGAAAACTGAAACACTCGAAGAAAAAAACAATCGAAATGGGGATAATTGATCCAGATGTTGAATACAGTAGTTCTTTCATTAACATTCAGACTTATAGAATTACTTAACAAATGAATGCATTCGTATGCTTCTTATAAATATAAGCTAACCAATAGTTCATGGCCTTGCCGTTTGAATTTGGGAACGCCTCCGATGGTTCAGTGACAGTTTTGTCGTTGCGTCAGCAGCACACTAGTCAGGAAGGTTAATGACCAATTTTCAAAACTAGATAGATAAAGATAGGTTGAATTCAACCATTGCCTCGAGATGAATTCTATATTGATCGGTAATTTTCCGTGGTTTCCTCTGTCAATTAGACCGAATGCCGGAGCGTCACCTTAATAAACGAGTGATGGTCCACGCGCGATTTTTCCTTCTTCGTCCTAACCCTCTCCTCTCCACTCACACGTCAGAAGACCACTCGGGAGCTTAAGGCCCCATTCACAATGCAAACGTAAACATAAGCATAGCGCATAGACATAAACATTAATATATGTGATAGACTCAACTATTCACAATGTCTAACATATACGTAAGCACAATAACACTTTCTATTGACTGTGAGACATTCTGGTTTACTATTGGTTAGATGTGAAAATCGATTTCAAGGTGTCGACTGTGTCCACGTCCCATATGGCGTTAGTTCTTCTATCGACTTCGCTCCAATTTCGATTCTCGGTATTGAGTTACCATTCTGTGCTTGGTACAGTACGTTGAAGCTAGCAAGCTTTTAAGGTAACGTCTTAGGTGTTATGCTTATTCGAAGGCATTGTGAATGAGTCCGCTTATGGACGCAGTTCTAACTTTTAGCGTAACGCCATGCTTATTTTGTGTTTGCATTGTGAATGGGTCTCTAGAGCTCGTCCCGGCTGGGTGATTTCTCACTGGGCTAAGTGCTTGGAGGGAGGAACCTGGAAAGGCTACCGCTGTACGCCTTTGCGTCGCCGCCGGATCTGACTTTCCAGCGCGAAAGGAAACACCGCCACTCGAGACTTAATATGCACTAACCACCATAATAGTTGGCACGCCCGGAAACGTACAGAACTAATGACCATATTACTTGATGCACCAAACAGACAATCAAGCAAACATTTAATCGATCGAGTTGGGACCCAGATTTACTCTATTATCACGTTAAAACAAGGACGCATACGTATAGTATTTAGCAACAAATACATTGACGTTAGTCCTCCACACATTTAGCATGCGCGTGGTAAACTAATGCCTTTCACATTTACTTTTATGTCAATGTTAAAATTATCAAAATAAATAAAAATAACAAACATTGAAATAAATACATGTACATCTCATACGTTAACATACTAAACTTACTATTCAAAAACTTACTATTACAAATATTACTTCAATTATATATATATATATATATATATATATATATATATATATATATAATTGATTTCATTTACCTTTAAAATATTTTGTTTACTTTTTTAATTCAATTCAAATACGATGAAAATAACATTAAAATTCGGTTGGATGGCAAACACTCTTTACATCCACATTGTTATTGACGCTAAGTGAAACATTTCTAGATACATATGTGATTTTAAAATACTGTAATCTTACTTTTGGTTTATGTTGTATCATACGGTGCTGGAATTACATTGGCCGAAACTCACCCATGAGAAGCCAATGCAGGCGATGGCGCCGCTCAGCATGTCCGCCACGATGGCCGGGTACGAGTTGGCCGTGGGGAAGTAGGCGTGGAAGCGGGGCGAGTGCCAGTGGGTAACCTGGAGACACAAAGAAGGCTGTCACACAGAAACGCATGTGCAAAATCACCTCTACATCCCTTTAACTAAAACTTTTAATCATTGTTGTCATAGATCACATTTGTTTATGTTATTTTTCATCGTAGAGATTCAATTGTACCGAATGTAAGGCCAATTTTTCTGGAACGAATAATACACAAATATTATTGGGCGCGTGTATCCGGGATATTAGGTTCCAACAAGTTAGGAACTTAAGGTGTACAACTAGAAGGTTGACAGTTTTTTTAACAAATCCATAAATGTGAAAATGGATTCTCAATACAAATATTCGTGTATACATATAAAATGAGAAATTTTAATTAAATAAAATGATAAATATTAGGGTACTTATAACCACATCTTTAACTTCAATTTGTTTCATTAGCTTTGGGTTCATTAAATAATTATTTTCATTACACAAATAATCGATGGTACCTCATTTAACAGTTTAATGTTGAAATATAAGGCGTTTAAACCATTTACTTCTTAATTTTCTTTCCGAATCTTTACGAAAAGCATTTAATAATTTAGAAAAAAAAGTTTTAATTCATTAGACTAATATGTCATTACGAAGTGAAGTTCTCAATTACAATTTATCAAAAACGCAAATTAATATTTTGGCCTTCCGTTTTTCACCGTCCCAATAGTTGTTTGTAAGATGAACATTTCCACCGAGGTACAGCTAAGCAAATGCAATACCACAGGAGGATTCGTTAGCACTTCTCAATTAAATTACCGGTATCATAACCAAATTTATATTTTCTTAATACTGTGATAATATCGACTTAACCTAACCGAACAGATGAACGGAAAGCTAATGGATGACGTCCGTTAAGGTTTCAATAGTCGCCCATACGTAAAGAACAATAGAAACAAGGCGAATAAAATTTGTATTTCGTATTTATATGACTTTTTCTTTAAATAAAAATGGTACAAAGAATGATGAACGACACACGTCCGATAAAACAAATAACAAAATATGTTATTTATCTGCTATTTACCAGTATAACTTTGTTAATAACTATTATATTCACGCTTCGATTCGCTTAGCCAATTTGTTGCATGTAAAAGGAATATTCC